CCAATATAGGAGGATCATCCCATTAAAAAAGATCAATCAAACCATCGATAATGACAATTCCCCCAGGAAAGTTGTCGTCGACAGATTAAAATAACAAAGAAAAGTAAAAGACCAATTACCAACCCTCAACATCGAAAAGCACGACGTGCCCCTCAAGGTTTCAATGTAATTACCTTGACATGACAAAGAAACGAGACATCATTTTGCAAAAAAATCAATGTACTATTCATCCAACACAATGCCCTTTCCTGCTTTGCTTTGTCATCTATCTTTGGCAACTTCGGCACGCAGCACCTCTTCAACACATGCCATGCCGCTGCAATCATACTGTCAGCTTTCGGCCACATTTGAGCCGAACACAATTCATCGGGGGGCCGCAAGCCACCATCTCCATCGCTGGACTTGGGAATTATTTGAATTTGCATTGAGTTTACCTATGGTGTGCAATCTAATTCATCTAGGCTGAAAGAAACTCTGCCATTGAACGGTGCTCCGTGTAGATGGATGCGTGAACGACGATTGCTGCCAGTTGTCTTCGTTCGTTGATTTTTGACTCCTGCATCGAATACTCATGTCGTGCCAGAATCGACAGGCTTCAGCTTCTAGTGATCGAGGTCCTTGCGATCCATTCGCTTCAGGCCATGTTTAGGCCCGAGGCTGAATCAGTTCATCGATCAAGTCCGGCCAGTCCACACGCCACCGTCGCCTGCGCTGGAGGTCGGGCTTACCATCACGCGTGAAACGCAAATGAAGATTGATTGAGCTTTGGCGATGTTGAACTTACATGCGCGCATACACGAGCGTACTTCCATGCTGATACGATGCTTGGGGAATGCGGAGTAAATCAACAAAGACTACAATTCTTTCAAGATTGTTGCGTCAATTCCTGGCTTCTGCAAGTTCCCGGTTTGGCTGACAATCTTCGATGCTCCTCTGTAAAAAACCATCCATAGAAAGCCTGAACATTTGACATCCTGACGGCAGGGCCTTCATTGGAATCGTCTTGCGAGCTTTTCGCAGCCTCGGACGAACCCTGTTGTGGGGGCGATGGGCGATGACACAGAGGATCTTTGTCAGACAGCACATATTCCAAGATCCTTTTGCAGATAGTGTGAGCACTACAAGTGGCATAGCTACTGGGACTCTATATGTATCGCAAGTCAGGCCAAAACATCTCGGCTCCCAGATGTGTTAGTCCGAGAGACGAGTGCAAGTCCGCAGAGTGACTTGCGCAGCCAGGTCATACAAGCCCAGCAGCCATCAAATTCGCCCACCTCTTCAAACTCGAAACTTTCAAGGCATGTTTCCTGTCCCTATAGCTCCCTGCACCAAACTACTCACAGGTCACTTATCAGCACCTTGACGGCCTTGGACGTCAAACAACACTTGCTGGCGATTTTTCTGTAACAACTGAGCAAAGATGGGCTACAGGGCTACAGAAAAACAGTGAAATTGCAAGTGGCTCCTAGAGCTTAGATCTGGAAGGTATTCCGACACCATCCTCGTCACCAGGGCTGTTCAATTACGTATTCTGCCATCGAGCCGGGCCGAACCAAGCTATCAAAACGCTGTGTGTCTGAGGACTGCAGGAATCTGCAGGAGGTCTGAAGGCTTGGAGGATGTCCTATACCCTAAACTCGTGTTGTCAGCCCGCTTGTCTGGCCCTCCTTTACACGCCACTCCGATTTCTCTGATTGTCGCGCTTATGGTGGATTTCGAGGGTCGCTAGCTCGGACTCCAGGCTCTTGTCTTCAGAGCTCTGCTGTGGGCTCTTGAGGTGTAGTTTGCTCCTGCACCGTTCGTGTGGCCCACTTGTAGGGCCTAAGCTGCCTCCTGCGGTGACGATACGAGCCGTAGGACTTACTTTCGACATCCAGGACACGTGTCCAGCACTTCCTTTTACGTTACATTCCTGAAGCCCCGCGGGACACGCTTACTCGTCTGCACTCGACGCTCGCCGCCTGTGCATGTCAATGAGCGATTTGAGAAGGCTTGCTGGAAGACTGAGTCGAACATCTTTGAACTTCGAGGTGAACTTGCCACTAGTCGTCGCATGTCGATCAAGACAAATCGGACAGAGCAGATCTCTCCAACCACGCCGAGAGGGCCAACACAAGTGGGAGGGTTGAGGGCAAAAGGCATAGGTTCAGAGTTAAAGCGAGAATGAATTGGGCTTGAAACTTGCGCAACGTCGGCAAACCCAGACAAAACCATGCAACACCCCAAACTGGGGTAGGTTTGGGGGCCCTACCAAAAAATGTGGCGTTAGAAGGATTACATAGGGGATTATAAGGGTAATCAAAGTTAACAATTATGTTCAAAACCCCTTGCAAAGTCTGAAACCTGCTACTGGAACATCTCGCAACTGCATGCCTGGGTTGGTGCTCGCGCTTTCAGAATCGACTCCTCGCAGGGGAAATCACCTTTGTTGGTCATGGGTTTAGTCTTAGAGCCAAGCTGGCTTGGAAGGTTCCAGAGTGGAGGGTTTTCGTGTATTTGTGAACCGGCATTCCTGTCCAGGGTTGATCATTAGTGCTAGGGCGGTCCCCCGTGTGGAAAAACAGGAACACAACTACTCAGCCAGCTCCAAGTCACTGGACTCCCACGTCAGGTTCATGGCGCAGTTGTCATGTGTGTCCCCATCTCGTAGTTTGGAGACAGGGTCCTGGAGCACTCAGCCCAGTTCAGGGGTTCGGGTCTGGGTCGACGGGGGGGAGCTCCTGCCCTCTGCGTAGCTGGGAAGAAAGTGTCGCTGAGTTATCTAAAGTCACGCTCGCGCGTGGCAAAAATGGTGATGGGGCTGGGGGAGGCGGGATACGTATACACATATACATATCTTATGCGCATACCTCAAAACATATACGAATATACAATAGATACTGAATACATGCTCAGGGTCTGCGTGGGAGTCTCGTGGAGTCGTTGAGGAATTTTCGCAGTGCACTACGCAAAGCGGGGGAACTCGAGGCAAGCCTTGCGTCCGTCCTCACCTTCGGACAAAAGCATTTTCTTTAGGGGGGCTAATGCGATGACGCGACAGCTATCAGTTCCAATGAACATCAAGACGCTTTGAAGGCGCAGTATCAGAACATGAAGCCTCCTCGAGATCTCACAACCCTCCCCCAAGTTTCCTCCCTGCCCCCGTCCGAATCCCTCGGGCCTAAACTTCCTACTATAAACCCGATATTTCAAGGCCTGAAGATGCCTGAAGCCTGCCTGGCTTCAACCCCAACCTGAACAAAACAGATTGTGAAACTTGAGCCCACAAGCAAAAACCGCTGCATGACATCATGAGCTGCCCCGCGTCCTCTCCGATCAGCTTGCAGCTGCTTCCTTCAAGGTTGAGGAAAAAGCAGGGGGTAAGTCTTGGTGCCGCCCGCCTAGCTGTCTAGTGAACAGCGCAGGAGAGACAACCCAGAGACTGAGATCGTGGATGATGCGCGCGTCCACAGTGCCCTGAACCCGAACCGCACGCCTTCTCCATTCTGAGGACTCATCCCAAGCTCCTTGTCAAAGCCATCATCCTGGTCTTGGCTCTTTGGGCTCGCCTGAGGACAGGGGCGGATGTCCAGCATCTTTGTCTCTGGCACCCGCAATACGCCCATCAAGGCTGAAACAGGCTGCCCGTGGCATCACCCAAACCCTCTAATTGGCGCCCTCTCGCACAACACAATAACATGCGATGAGGATCCGTGAGGCAACGACTGGTTGAAGCCCCGCCTCCGCAGCGGATGGAAGGACAGCGCTGTCCTGGCTCGTGGATGCCGCCGCTTCGGCATGCTTCGGTGTGCTTTTCAGCTCTTTTGTGGCAGGCTCGGCAGCCCCATCGCTCAAGTGGTCAAACAACATGCGCAGCTGCGCAGCAAGGCGTGTATAATTCCACAGACTGCCATGCCCCTATCTGCGAACCAATGTGCCATCCTCCAAGTTGCCGGCAAACTCCGCGCAGGCAGCCTCTACAAACATACCGCCAGGAGAAGCTCACGGGAATCTCGAAAGTCTTTCAAGCACGTGCAGTCCAGCCCAGCGTCCTCACTCTATTGAAAGGAAATGAAAGTCTTGAGGCAACCTATTATTATGTTGTACGTCTTTGAACACTTGTGCGTGTGGAGCACCCCCCTGCCTCTGCCGGTCGTTCAGCCACAGGAAGCTCCTGTCCAAGGCGAGAATGAACGAAGCTCTGCACGCAAACGGCGCCCAGAGAGAGGGGGCTGTGAGCGCTGCTCTGCTGCAGTGATGGCCAATTGAGCCCACTTCCAGGTTATACTTCCACATCATCCCCAGCTTGAAGGATTGACAACGCCGAACTCCGGCCTCAGCCTCTTTGAAATCGTGGCCAGCCTGCAGCAGCATGCGTCTGACGTTTGCAGCTGGCGGGCACGGTTCCAGCGGACCATATGACATTGCGCACAGAGCGGAACCTGAACAAACATAACCGTCGCAAGCATGCGGGAGGGAAAGCGCGCGAGTGTGCGTGCACTTGTGCGATCTTGCAAACGCGCACGTCAAGCACTTCCCTCCAAATCCTTCGGCGTCACGCCACATCACACCACTCGGAACTGCGACGTTGGTGGCTTTGCCACACTGATCGCCGATCTAGCTTTATGTTGGGGCCTGTATAGGTTCACGCGGCATACCGCGCATACAGCAAATCGAAGCGCCGAACGGACTTTTCGCACTGAGAGGCGTGACTCAGGAACACTCGGGACACTTTGGCGCACCGCAGGGAAGCTTCAAGTATGTGTCGTCTGATTGGTGTCACCCAGGGCTGGCATGAGGTAACTTGGTGAGGCTTGTCTATCGAGCCATGGCCTCACGCGAGATCTCGAGCGTTGACTGCGAAGCCTGCCGCGGTCGGGACATGTGTGGGGGGCCCTCCGTGCACCAACTTGAAGCCCTAAGAGCCGGACAAAAAATCAAGGCATGGGCGAGGCATGCGAGGCCTCTGACTGGACAACTCATGACAATTCTTCCACTCCAGCCTATAGGCCTGCAAGTGCCTTGAAAGCTGCTCTACGGGAAGGCCTGGGGGGCCTAGGGACACTGCGTGCTACTGTGTGCTGAAGCTATGGCAGAAGCCTGCGCTTCGCTATGGCTGCTGTCAAAGCTCATCTTCCGGTGCCTCGACGGGGGAAAGTGGGCCAGTGAAGGAGGAAGCCCCAAAAAAACAAACACTGACTCTCCCAGACATGTTCGGTCACCTTGCGAGAACTCACAATGTCACACTGTCTTGCATGTCTAAGGCCCCCAGCGGATCTTCGAGCTGGGCTCGTGGGATTGAGATCTCCACTGTGACGAAGCCCAACTCGTCCTCGCCTCAACTGCGCAGCACGGACTTTCTGAATCGCCCGCCATACGCCACGTCACGAACGCTTGCAAAATCTCGCAAAAACCGCGAAAACCTGAGAATCTTGAAGCGCGTGCCGTCAATCTAACTGAATTCAGCTCATCCGGCGCGCCCTAACCCGAAGCCCCGAAGCAAGCGCTCGCTTGGGCGTGGGGCTCGCTGCGAGGATCGTCTCTGCGTCCGAGTCGTCCAGACTGGCTGAAGGAACAGTGTCGCAGGCGACTACCCGTGTGCCAAAGATCTGTTTTACCTTTTCAAAAGCTGCAGCGCGCATCGCAACCGGAAACAACTGCTTGGACAGTCTTGCCTTGCATGACGCGGCGCTTTCGGAGATGCCTCACCTTGGTTCTTGACAATGTCGGCAGCTGATTCTGGCTTGGACACATGCGAACTGTGCAGGAGTCCAAGCAAGGCATCCCCACCCCCGGATTCAAGTGCAAACGCGCACAACATTGCGCAGCATTGCACAGCAGGTGGCTCGTGGATCCACTCGTCCGGGCGCCAGGCTCTCCATCTCAACTACAAGTCTTGCCAGCGCTGCCTGGCTCCAAAGATGTCAGCACAACGCTTGCCCCTCATCCCCTGCCCCACCCATTTCCACCCCTTCGGCACATTGAAAGACATGATGCCTGTGGCAGTGGTCTGCCGGTGGCATGGCACAGCCTCGATGGGACGAAGAACACGGCTTCAAGCAACATCTGACATGAATGTAATGGACTGTCATGCAATTGGGGGGATTATGGTGACCATGTGTAGTTGATTTAAAGCGATTTGTCAACAAGTGTTTCGGAGCTTTCCAGCTATAGCTTCCAGGGCGGCTGCGCGGCATAGCTGCTGGGCAGACGTGGCCGTCTTTGCGGCCGGGTCCTTGGCCACCGCAAGCGAACAAGCGCCACGCTGGCCACACCCATCCACATCCCTTCGGCGCTTCTGCGCCACACTCTCTGGAAGCAGACCCTGAGAGTCCCCGCCTGCGGTCCTCGCGCGGGCTGCGTGAGCGCGGCATGTGATCTGCCTATTCGGCGAATCAGCCAGCTCACACGCACAACCGACCTCGGACTTGAGCCACGTGCAACATCAAGCAGACACACGTGTGCTGGAACGCACGCAGGGTTCTGGACTGCCGTCACTGCTGCGTGCCAATCTCCACGTCAATGATTGCCCGCACCCACACACACGGGTTGTTTCATTTGGAATCATGTCGCTATAACTGCACGAAGAGCAAGTGAGGTTGGATGTAACATGATGTGTATTCCATGCATCCGTTTTTTCGCGAACTGCATTGGGTTTATCGCAAGGTCGGCTTAGCGGTCCAGCGCAGTCCCTCTTTCTGCTTCGGGCGGGCGAGGCATGCGAGGCCGTCTTTGGCAACTTCGGCGCGCAAATCTTCATTTAAATCCATTAGCTTCTGGTCACTTTCGCCCTGAAGCTGTAACAATTCAACGATCAGGTCGGGCACCAAACAGGCCACCATGCCGTCTCCTGTGCCGGAGTTCGGGCAGTGCATAAGATTGCTTAAGGTAGACGATGGCGCGGTCTGACTGTCAGGAGAGCAAGCCCGAGGAAGATTCTGCAAACGAACAGTGCTGTGAAGGTTGCTCGAGGCTCATTGCTCCTGTCTTGAGTCCCTGTTCAATGCGCAACTGTCACGTGTGCAACCAAATACCAACTGATTGAGCGAAAGGTACCTTCGGGCGTGAGCTTACACGCCAATACAACATGTTGGGCACGCAGAGAGGATCAACAAAATTGGTCGCTTTTGGGGGTGAATTGCTTGTAGTTCTCTGTGCTCGGGTTGCTTTGGCTTCTTCAAGTTTCTGGAACGAAGAATGTTTGCAATGATGGATGCCACTGAAAGCCTTTAGATTTGACATCTTGACGGGCAGTGGCCTCCATCAACAGCAGCTGAACTTGTAGGCAGCTTGCGAGCTTTGCGCATCCTCGGACGAACCACTGCTCGGTGTGTTGTGCGCGCGCGCGCGTGTGTGTGTGTGTGTGTGTGTGTGTGTGTGTGTGTGTGTGTGTGTGTGTGTGTGTGTGTGTGTGTGTGTGTGTGTGTGTGTGGTGTGTGTGTGTGTGTGTGTGGTGTGTGTGTGTGTGTGTGTGTGTGTG